ACATGGTGAAATTTCCCCACACTCCATGGAAGTGTTTAGTGCTTTAGAAAACATTTTTAAATGATTTTGTAAAAACCCTTAGAAGCCCTGTGGGGCTGCATGTTGCTCATAAACATATTTTGTCCACCCCTGCAGTACCATCTTGGGCACCATTTCATATCATTTCACGTGCAGTTCTTGCCATGGAGTCCATTTCACATGTTTACCTGTGAATCACCAAGTGATTGGTCAAAGTAGTTATGGACTTATGCCTTCGAAAACCCTTGTTTTAAAAAGATATTGCTTGTGGAATAAGGGGGAAAACAACAACCATCACCAGATGTACTAGGAGATTTTGCTTAATGGCAAAGTTAATGCTCCCTGATAAATGTCTCCAGGAAGTTCTTTAGCTGCTATATTACTAATGGCCTTACACAGTTCCTCCCGCCTAACAAACCAACCTCTCTTCATTTCCTTTTAGTTGTTTCTTTTTCTGACTTGCCTGATTAATACATCATCAGACCAAAGACTCTGTGGATCCTCTAAGGTGTAATTAAAGTTCACTGCTCTGGGTTTCATTGTCTTTATTTTTAGACAGGAAGGATCCTTTGAATGCCAGCTTCTAAAGTTTACCTTTGTTTACAACACATACTTTCCCTGGGAATCATTATTATGTACTGCAGCTCATGTGGGATGAGAATTGCCCTTTAGAGGTGAGATGCAATCTTAGAGTGAGTCCTTTCATCTTGCTTTTTGTTCTCTAAGATATCCTATGATGATTTAGATAGTATAATATGCACCAGTAATGGAAAAATAACTTTATCTAAAGATTAGAAGAAAGGAAAGGGCAAATATAGCGCTAAAAGAAAGCCTGCTGTATCTTCCTATGTTTGTGTGGGAGGAAAATTTTTGCTTCAAGATGCCCACATCAAGAGCTTAGAAATGTTATTTCTTTTTTTAGACTACTTATTTATTATCTATATTCCACCCTATAAGATCTCAAGGTGTATTACAGATGAGAAAGCATGTTAAATACCTTAGAAAAATTTAAAACAGTTAAGAAAAATTTAAAACCTAATTTTTCAGGTACCATGGACCATCAGAAAGATCCGTAAATGGATCCAAAAGCAAATCAAGCTGGACTCTGAGTAGAAGCTAAAATGACTAAAATGAGGCCCAAATATTTTGAACATATAATGAGGTGACTTGTCTCTTTGGAAAAGAGGATAATGCTCAGTAAGTGGAAGGCTTTGTAGATGGATTAATTCAATCACAGAAGTCATAGCCCTGAGTTTGGAAGATCTGAGCAGAATGGTTGATCACTAGGGCTCTTACAGGTCACTCATTCATAGGCTGACCATTAGTAAAAGCCAACTTGACAGCAGATAACAAAAAAGTAATATTATTTAAATGACTGAAGCCATTCTGTTCCAACCAAGCAACAACCAAAATCCCTCCCCAGACTTACAATGCAACACCCCTGCACACAACCATTTTTATGTTGTCAGAGAGTGAGGTTAGGAGTAGGAATGTCTCCATCTATTTTCCTGTATCTGGACACACTGCAAGGATATCATCTGCAGAACTCGCAAGTACTCCAGGAAGTCTCTGTAGATTACTTTTGCAGTGCATCTAGCTACAGGAAAAATAACTAGGCACATTCCCATTCAGCCAGTTACTCTCCAACAACATAAACATGGATGTGTTGCGGAGGTCACACTGCTAACAAGGTGAGATGCTTGGAGTAACATCAGGAGATATAGCTACATGATACATGCATATTTCCTGATACACAATTTCAACCACAAGGGGTTTTCTTAGTTTGTAGTAAAATGAGAAGCAATTACTCTGGTGTTAAAATGAGATGATAATCTGTAAGCATTTGCTTTTCAGAGATGAACTTTGTCCAAAATTGTTTCAGCACACTACCTTCCATAAATGCAAATAGTACTCTCATAACCTATAAAGATTAGAAATGGTTCACAACAAATTTATAACAAAATGTTCAAGGCCAAACAAGATAGGATGTGCCATTTTAGTTACATGACTCTATTGAGGGTGTCAAGGAATCTAAACATCATTACACATGAGGAAGATAAAATAAGGATGTGTGAGAATTTTGTTTCAGTTTATTTTTTATTAGAATTGAAGCAAACGTACAAATTTCTAAAATGGAGAAAGTGAAACTTACCCATCCCTCAGGGAGGGCAACAAACTCTTTCTTACCACATGTGATCATGATGTTCACACTAACTACAAATAATAGATTGAGGGAGATTTTTATCAGGGACATGTCAGTGACCCTTCCTGAACAACATGGTCATCATGTCCATGTGGCTGCCATTTCCTTGTAGAAGATTCACAAAATTACAGGTGACAACTTTAACATTGTGTATATTTTTTTTCCCTGCAGTCTCCAAGGTGCCAAATTTAAGTGCCCCTAGCAGGGACATTTTGGGGTTGCAGACTGTGAAAAATAGTGTGAATTCAGTCCACATTTAGGGTTAGGGTTAGTGCTAGGGAATCATGGGAATTGTTATTTTTCTGAGACATTGAACCTTCTCTGTCAGAGAACTCTAGTGCCACAATAAAATTCAGTTCCCATGATTCTCTTATCATTTTAGCTGTCTTTTTCATCACCTATGATCTTGGAAGCTAAGTAGTGTCAGCCCTGGTTAGAACATGAATGGGAGTCCACCAATAAATGCTGTAGGCTGTATTTCAGAGGAAGGAATGGGCAAAACCCACTCTGCTCTGAGTATTTTTTGCCTAAGAAAATCCTATGAATTTCATGCGTAGCCATAAGTTGACAGGTGACTTGAAGGCACATACACAGAGACAAACAGAAGCATATGCAGCCATAAAAAAGAAGCTGTCTCATGAATTTATATTATAGAATTGTTGGGTTGGAAGAGGGAATCTCTTCCTGCCAATAAAGCTTCTCTGAGGGGCCATCATTTTGTATCTGCTTATGATGGTTATATTATTTTCAGCTAATTTTCTATTAATTTCAAATGCTGGCTATCCCCTCCCACTACTGCAACACATGTTTTGCAAATCATTCAGGGCCTCTGGTGACACACTGCCAGGGATAAACTTGCACTTATATATGACTTCTTCACACAAACAGGCAATGCATGGAGCAGGGAACATTTCCACATTTCCAAAACCACGTAGATTGGCTCGCCACCGGGCGGTATATAAATAAAAAGTATTATTATTATTATTATTATTATTATTATTATTATTATTATTATTATTATTATTATTATTATTATTGTTGTTGTTGTTGTTGTTGTTGTTGTTGTTGTTGTTGTTGTTGTTGTTGTTGTTACTTTTGACTAGAAAAGACTGTTTGGGCATCACATGTCAAACTCAGCCCAGAAAGTAGCAGGATAGGGTTTGTGTGCCTTTGCATGTGCCTTAAGAAATGGGCTGTTCCAAGATGTTTTGCTGCCTGAGGCAGGATAGCAAATTGCCCACCCCTATGGTGCTCACACAGTTCCAAAGTCAGAGTGCATAGTAGCCAAAGCTAACCAAATTATTTTAGCAAATGAGCCACAAAATGTGCCAAACACCTCTTCCTATCACTAGCACTGCAATGTTACCTTTCTAACAATTCACTGTCCTTTTATGACAGCAAAAAAACTATTGTGCCTGAAGTGGCCACCTCATTCTCCCCATTAGTAAGGCCATCCTGGCTTCACAGGGCATAAGGATATGATCTGGATTTTCTGCTTCAGTTGCAAGAGCTCATGTTGTTTGTTTCTGGACATGGACTGGATTATGTTATAAGAAAATGAGCAACCCCTATTCAAATCACTGAGGACATTGATCTATTCTAACCTCCAAAGCCATCTGCTACAAACTCTCTGTATAGCTTTTTATAAAGCCAACTGCAATAGCCTTTCATTTTATCCACGCACTGCTCCTTTGTGAATTTAGCTGATGCCTTCATGCTTTTTCATATTGATTAGTGAACAACTAGCAGGTGCAGACTTTCAACACCACCCATATGAT